TAATAATAATGTCACATGGTCCTTCGTCTTAGCACATAACCGCCGCAGACTGCTTCATGTAACATCGAATGTTTAGTTTGATGATTGATAAACATATATTCACCGTTGCGTTCATGTTACGTTAATACAAACATGATTTAAACTTGTCCCTTCAGGTGTTTTTTTCGTTGCCGAAATAGCACGTGTGTGTGTGTGAGTTTCCCCGAGTAAAAGCATGAAAAGAGGCAGGTGAGAGTCCTTGTTGCAACGTGTTCTATCATTTCCAGCGCGCGTGTAGTGGCTGCGTTTATTTTGTCATGTCTCGCAACTGGACGTCCAAGCTGACTTTGTTTTGGCTGTATTATAAAACAAAACGTCATGTTAGCAACGTTTTTTTTTTGTTTGTTCAAAGCGATAATCTTTCCAATTTTTAATTGTCCTAGTTATGTACTTTATTCTTTTTCTCTGTGTGAATAGAAGTGTCAAGTTTGAAGAAAAAAAAGTCTCAACAAAACTTGGACTTCCATTATTTTAATTATTTATTTTTTGATATTCACAAACCATGAGCAAACCAACCTTTGTTTTGTAATGTCACAATCATGAAAACTGTTCCGGCGTTTTCCAAGCACTCAAACCCACAGTACCACAATAAAAATCACTTTAATCGATAGTATTATTTTCCATATCTGCCCTCCGGATTTGCAGTCGCAATCGACGAACGTACCGACATTTAGTCGTGACGAACTGCGATGATTCGGTGAGAATTAATCTATTATATTAAGTTGTTTGTTTTGAAAGAGTATCTAGTCTGGACTGTCTCAAGCACGTTTTAGACAGAGAAACATCTGGAAAAGTGAAAACGACGTGGTAATGGAATGAGTAAAAGCACCGGAAACACACACTACATGGTGGAGTCGACACCGAGCCAGGGAAGCGTCTGTCACCCTTTTTTCACCATTTTTATCTCCATCGTGGTGATGACAGCAGAGAAATGTGGGGCTTGAACATGTACATAAAATCACTGTGGCATCAAAATTCAGAAAAATATTGCCTAATCAAATCAAATCAAATCAAATCAAATCAAATCAGACAGGCAAAGCAAGTCGAATGTTTATTACAACATAAACAATAATAGTTGGTAGAAATGTCAACGCGGCTGCGATACATATACGTGAGATTTGTTTGAATGACTTCAACATTAGGTGTCAACGTGGTGATAACGCAGATGTTCGGTTACCGCTATTTCCCCTGGAAACAAACACTACGGTTTTAAACACACGTGCAACGAGTTTTCACGTCTCGACAGTTTCATTAAAACTTTCAGACTGTTTTTCTGTGTGTTAACTGTCCAACCAATAGCTATGAAATAATCCACAAACACGCCGTAGCAGTGTCCCAATAAAAGACCGAGTACGCACAGTACGATTCAGTAGTACGCATACGTTGAAGCGAGCTTTCAGAGTTATCTATTTTCGTCACGCTATTTTCGGTTCAGAAGAAGTTGTTTCCTAGATTGAGTCATGGTTCGTCAGTCGAAGAGAATACGTACTTTTTTGACGGTGGACACTGACACCGGTAGACCAAATTCGTCGGTTATTTTATAAGAAAGCTCTCTTGCTGACAACTCGCCGTCCTTTTCCATTTCTTTGTCAATAAAATCCCAGTGCTCCACTTCGAGTTTGGTTCTTGTCTGAATGTTTCTGTAGTCTTTGATTCGTCCTGTTTTTCTATAACGTTGTAAAAACTTGCCGATCGAATTTTTAGAAACCAACACTCGATCTTCCTCCTCCAATCTCTTCCTGATGTCTACCTGCTTGATTCCAATGGCCGCCAAGGAAAGAATTCGTCGCCGAACATAAACAGTCAATCTTGATAATTGGACAGGGTCATGCATGATTTAGCTTGAACCACGGTTACTAGAAGAAGTAACCGTGCTTGAACCGAGCATTTAGATAATACAGCTTGCGTGTAAGACAGCAAAGAGTATCGGTGTGAACATACGGCTAACTACGATACTTCTCAGCATTGTTTACATATGTAAATTACTTCTTTGTTCGATGAAGCGAAGCTGATGCCACATTGTCGCCATAATGAGGCTACAATGAAGCGATGCGATAACCACCTCAACCTTTTATGTCGCGACAATGAAGCGACGCTGAAGCCATAGCAATGCCATCATGATGCGATGCTGAAGCGAAGCTGACGCTGAAGTGAAGCCAAAGCTTCCGCGAGAACTGTACTGTATCTTCATACAATTTCTCAACATCATTGTTTAAACTTGCCTAACTCTACACATTGAGCTCAATGCCTAACTTCACACAATTGCTCCTTTGATATCTATTCACACATTATTCACTCATGCCAGATTGCACATAAAAAATCTGTTTCTGGTCCGTGCACATGGCGTATTTAAAATAAAATCAAAGAAAGCTTAGAAAGTACTCCTGTGTGCTGAATATTGGAGACACATTAAAACTAATTCAACATTTAAAATTCGCTTTTCAAAGAAGAAACTTGGCAACTGATATTTGTCTGTTATTTGAGATGCACAACATGAAAACTATCTAAGAAAACTATATAAGAGCATCTCTGTGACAAATTTCAATTTAAATCTGATTTTTTGAGATATCAGAAATTGGCTAATAATAATTAGATAATCAATATGTATGTTTTTCAACATAACACTAATCATGTCTATGGATTACCGCAATGAACCAAATAAATTATTATGCAAATTAAGCAATTATTATGCATACATTTAGGTCTGTGTATTGTTCCAGGGTGAACATGTAGCAAGTTTTATTATAATGTGATGATTAATTCTATCTTGCATTGTCCTTTGACATCTATATGATGACTACCGGTAGTACTTGAGATACAATGTACATGTATCAGTGGAAAAGCCAAAAATTTACTAATCATCATGCAAATTAGGTAATTAATATACATGGCTTTTAACCAAAACCTAATCAAATCTGTGCATTAGCCCAAAGAATCTATGCATCAAGTTTCATCAAAAACCAACCCATGGTTTTTGAGATAGCTGTTGAACAGACGGACACACACATACAGATGCACTAACTGCTAAGACTCCTATTGTATACTTCACACACGGAAGTAAATAAATGAAAGAATCCACCTCAATTTGAAGCTCAGCTATCTTAGAATTAGTTTTCCCCTCCACTGCAATAGTTAGTATCATCATCGATAAAATCACTATTGCTGAAGTCACCAGGAGAATTCAACATCTAGCAAAACGTAAGTTCTTTGCTAATTTGGGAAAGGTGACAAAAGATAACTTTGATTTGACTTACCTAGGCTATCTTGTCTTGCTCTTTTTTTAGGAATGGCTCCTTCACTAACTCTGTTTCGTAGCATAGCATTACCACTATTTTCACTATCTTCAGTAGTGGTAGCACTATCAAGCTCCGTGGAAAACATCCAATCTACTGCAAAGAAACTCATAGTTATGATCATGTACCCATTATAGACGTGGTAGCACTATCAAGCTCCGTGGAAAACATCCAATCTACTGCAAAGAAACTCATAGTTATGATCATGTACCCATTATAGACAAACTATAAGCATCAATGTCAATTTTACTTGCAGTGCAATGTGACAACTGTAAAATTTCCATATCGTATGATTTGTTAATATTTTTATAAAATAAAAATACTTTTAAAAAAACTTTTAATAAGATAATTATTCTTGCATTTCAGTAAAAAGTTATCAAAAAAAAATTGCCTCTATTAACTAAAATTATACCAAACTGAAAAAAGCGCAAAAAACCACAGGTCTTATATTGTAAGCTTTGTCATCTGCTCATTAATAATGTTTAATTTCCCAAAACTAGCAATGAAATCTGTGATAACTAGCAATGAAATCTGTGATAACTAGCAATGAAATCTGTGATAACACTGTGGTTAAAGGCTGTACATCCCCTCTGTTTAAAATGTGGGTTAAAACCATTCACTTAACAATAGTTGATGAAAAACTTCTCTAATACCCATGGCAACTTTCAAACTGCCATGTATAGTTATATTACCTACACATAAAACCTTCTCAGTTGGACAAATTAGTATTTATAAGCAATTAAAAAATTGTTTTCAGTAAAATTAAATTAAGTCTATCGTTACAAGCTGAAAAAATAATCAAAAAAATAATTGCTGTAAAAGAAGAAAAGATTTTCTCTTAACACATCGCCTCCAAAGATGGAAAAAATGATTGGTAAAAAAAACAGCATCAGCAGACAATAAGTTAGTGTAATAAAAGCAAGTATAAACAAAATTCATGAAGAATGAAAGACACGTCGATAATTCACTCCAGTATCGATAGTAGTACAGTACTATTTCTAAAAATGTTTTCAATATTTCATGATTCAAATTGACCTTGGTAAATTTGAGAATGAAATGTACTACATTGTGTAAGTTTTATTTTTACCTTTTTGTACTTGTGTCTTACCCTTCCATTTATGTAATTGACCCTGGATGTTATGTGTATGTCAAATCAGTTACAGTGTGATATAATATTACAGTATTGCACAGGGCTTCTACATTCTATGTTGTTAGCAAATTTCAAATTATTCCCATGGACATGATTGAAAATAGATTTGTAGTAAGAAGGTTTCAATAAATTTTATCAGTTTACACTGCTGTTGAGTCTTGTATACCAAGCAGCTGGATTGGAAAGATATATAACACAATATTTATAAACAAACATAAAAGTTGATGTGACTTTGCAGTACTCTTGTAATAATCTCATACAATACTATATACATGTATGAATTCAAGTGTGATTTTATAATCTGCACAGACAAATGTGGATTTAGAGAAATCAATACATGTGTCACAAGAAAAATAGTGGTAGGAAATGCCAAGTCACATGACTTACCTATATTGGAATCACTGTCCCCAGCTTCAAATAGCCAATTCAAACCAACAGAGCTGCCACTATCAAACTCAACTGCACTGTTTTCGCTGTCAGTATCAAGTAGCGTTCCTAGTCTTGTTTGTGAAACAGCTGACAAGACGTTAGCAGATTTACAAATAACTGTCTCATCAAGGGTTTGTTCATTTGGAGAAAACACTGAAGAGCTATCTAGAGTCGATTCAAGTTCTGAAGCACTGCACATACTAGTAGTTCTACTTGTTATTGGAGAGTCACTAGATGACATATTTGAATCTCTACGTAATGAAGGGCTTGATTTAGTTTCAAAATGCACGCCCAAATTTGAACTCATCCCTGTAACATCACTCTTTCCTAAGGATGAACGTTTGATATTTCCTCTTCTTCCAAAACCACTGTTCCTTGGCGCAGATGATCTGAAGAACCGAAAACTTGATTCAAGCCCAATGTCATCATTTTCAACAGCAGGTAACTTTGATAAATCTCCTGTGTTCGTTGACACGTCACAAGCTTGTCCCATCTCTCTGGGACTTTCTGCAGAACAGCATTTTTTTATTTTAATCCCTGAATCTGTCATATCCACAGGATCAGTATATTTTACATTATGCACTTTGTAGCCAGACGTATCTGCTGTCTGCCTCGTAATAATCGCATTGAATAAACTAGATGTGTCTTCATCCTCCTCACAGCTGTCATGTTTATCTAAGTCCACAACAACCACTTCTAAATCTTTTTTAGTCCGTTTGCTTTCCTGACATCTTGGTTTTGTGTTAACAATGTTATCATCTGATGATACAAACATTGGTCTTGGAGTACAGTCCCTAATGACGTTCATTTCAATGTCATCGTTATTGTGCTGCTTAGGTTTAGCTCCAAACCTTCGAACCAATTTTGGTTTCATAGCAATGTTTCTATTTAAGCTGTCACCTGTCATAGAAGAATTGTTGACAACATTTAAATATTTGTACATTTATTCAAAACAATTGATCAAAGAACCTATAGATCAGATACTATCATAATCATCATAAGAAATCCGATTGAAATAAAAGAATTACGGTTTTATTTGCTCTATTAGAAGTGTATACATTTATGTGAAAGTCCTGTTGAAAAGTTTATATTAAGAAATCCGTGTGTCTTGGATGTACTTAACATCACACTAAAACAGCTTTTGGTTTTTATGCACTACTTTTTTGAGATCTGCTTCTAATTAGGCAAATACCATTTAATTATTTAATACTGAAAATTTTGCACATTATGATCAATTGATCAAAGAACCTATAGATCAGATACTATCATAATCATCATAAGAAATCAGATTGAAATAAAAGAATTACGGTTTTATTTGCTCTATTAGAAGTGTATACATTTATGTGAAAGTCCTGTTGAAAAGTTTATATTAAGAAATCCGTGTGTCTTGGATGTACTTAACATCACACTAAAACAGCTTTTGGTTTTTATGCACTACTTTTTTGAGATCTGCTTCTAATTAGGCAAATACCATTTAATTATTTAATACTGAAAATTTTGCACATTATGCACTTTTATTTAAATTTAACTCTTACTGTAAGTTCTTTGTTAATTTTGGTCGGAATGGACATCATTTTTCATTGGAACAAGTCATGATCAACAGTTTTGACAAAAAAATATGGAAACAAATATTCTGGTTTATTTTGTACAAGGTAGACAAAAGCTGACTTTAGCATTCAACAAATTTAAGGCTTTTTACAAAACATAACAAACAGGAACTAAGTTGTGATAAACGAAGTAAGAATACCTGAAGAATTAATGGATGAACTACTCAAAGTACACGTAACAATCTTGGGTGGTGATCCTTCTTCTATCGTAACCATACTATCGACTGAACCTGGTATTATACTGCTATCTCTCATAGGATCTGTAACTGCAAATATAAATAATTTATTTAATATTTTGTTATTTATACTTTGTAGTAGTTACTTATTTTCAAGAAGGCAGATTTGAGAGAAAGCTCTAGCACCATGTAGTGTTGTTGTATGCTGCAGTAAGCCACTACTCATTATGACATGACAGAAATTGTTGATGACATATTCAAATGTTTTTTGAGACATAAATCACTGACAATCAATCAAATCTCATTGAAATGAAAACCAAAGTGACATACATACATATAATACTGTAAAATACTATATTTTCGCTTGGAATTAATTGTCACTATTTTCACTGAAGGAATGATTCAGTCAAAATAAAATTCAGCGAATATACTTTTTTCCCTATATTTTACATTCAACTTGATTTCAAAAATCAGTGAAAATAAATTTCATACAAAAATCCATAAAGTCTTTTCAGCGAAATTTAATTCCAGCTAAAATAAAGTATTTTACAGTATTATTATTTGTCATTATACTAGCTTTGAACAAGGTAGGTCCAAAAAATATGTCATATAGATGCATGGATGGAACCCAAAACACAAGTCCTCATTTTGAAATACGTTCAATAAGGACTAAAAACATGAGAACAGTTCACTAGTTTACAGTTGTCAGGATCCTCCCTATTGTTTGCTTCATGTAGACTTACTAGTACTCGTTGGCCTGGACTGTGTTTCATCAGAATAACTATTGAGTCTGAGTTCTCGTTCGATGCTATCCAAAGTATTCAAAGCTTTGACTAATGTATCTTCTGAACTATATGTGGCTTCCATGGGATGTACTTCCACTTTATGCTCATCACTACAGCAATCGTTATCAAGCATCTCTGCTGCTCTCTGTTGAATCCAAAAAAAAATGTGATACAACATATATTTAGTACATTTCAATTTTAGCTGCAAATTGTCTATCAGTGTTAAATAGTCTGACAAGAGGTTTTTTTTTACCATCTTTTATGAAAATTATAATTTAAAATGATATAATCAAAATATATTTTACTATCATGAGATTAACAAATAGAATTAGTTTGAGAATATATTTGCTCCTTTATTAGTTAACTGTGTGTGTTCAACATATGAGTGCACATCACAGCAAATGAAAAAGTGAAAGTGCATCAAAAAGAGTAGATAAAAAGGTTCTTTAGAAAACAGACACAGCTGCCACAATAATACTATAATAAATACACAGAGACAAGACTTGAATTTCATGGAGGCACCAAAAGCAATTGCCTTTTTTCTGAAAAATATAGAGAGAGTTGCATTGTAGTGTATAGTCTAATCGGGAAAACTTACCTTCCGTGCCATTTCTTCATTAAAAGAATTTCTTGAACTGCATCCAATAGGAGGTGTAATACTTCTTTTTGAACCAAATTCCTGCATCTCAATTCCCTCTATGCTTTCACTTATAAAATAATGTGATAAAACTTACTTATGTACATGAGCTTTGCCTCATCAGAAAGTCATTCATAATATCACTGTAAAATTGCTCTCATGTCGTCTTACTTTACAATACAATTAACATCATTGTTTTTTAATGCACATAAATCAGCATTGAAAGATTGCATTAGCATATTCTTTATTTGTATTCAGCAAAAGAACTCACCCTATAGTTTTGTTACTGTGTGTGTTATCATTCAAACTGACTGTTTGTCCCTTTTCTACATCTTCATTCTCGGTTTCAGCTTTGTCACCTGCTTCATCCTCATTGTGTCCTTCATTTTTATCATCAATGATTTCACCAAAGTCAAACATCAAATGCAGACGAAAGTTTATTACTTTGATACATGTAAATACGAATGCAATAACTGCACAGTAAATAATCCACACTGCCGGTGATGGTGCAAGTGCCTAGAAAAGAAGATAATCACAAAGATAAAACCATATCAGCACATACATGTATCAAAGATTGCCTGGTAAAGCCTAAATTACAATATTTCATTTGTTGTTAAAATAAGCTATTTCGATAAAGTTGTCTTGCATGAAAATGTAGTTACATAAACAAATAAACTTGGTTTTGTTTACATTTAATTTAAGCATTTCCACTCTTGTGTTTAGATCTTATCACTAATAAAGATATTTTTGATATAATGGCGTTCAGTTTCCGATCTCGGCATGTGGCGAGAGTCAGAATCAAGTCGGCAGATACTGAAATGTGTATGTTAACAGTCAAGACCAATAGAGAGCCAGGACCAAAACTTTGCACTGAATGCAAGGGCGCAAACCAAAATCACGCCCTCGGTGGTGAATTAAAGATAATATATACTGGTTCATATATAAATGACATGGCGATGGAGGGAAGTGTAACACGATATGGTCGGTTCAAGTTGTTGTAATGAAAAACATCGCAGGCACACATATATATGCTGCTACAATCATTTTTTTCTTGCAATGTTACTGTTTTTTGAATCCTTCTTTCCTGTGCATGATGACTGATAATAAATATAACAGCAAATGGATATGACTTTAATAAAGTAATTATTATTATCATCATATGCGCGTTGTCTGCCATGTTTGGGTCAAATAAAAGACCAATAAATAAGAGCATGATTTTGGCAAGGGCCAAGTGGGTCCACACTAATTACCTAAGTTTTGGATTCATCAACGCCAGTGATAAAGCACGTCAATGAATAAGTAGAGCTCCACTAATGCTATGAAAAGAACTTATCTAATACAGGTCCACTCAACGTACATGTACATATATATAACAAGTGTCTAATGAACCAGCAGTTAACAGGAAGAATACGAAATTAAAATAACATTTTT